AGGGACTGCAATAGCTCAAAGATGTGCCTCAGAGTAAGATGTGAGCATAAAACACTAATTGGGGTCCTAGCCATACAGAGACAATCAAAGGTATTGAAGGCACCTGGGCATGGAAGCAACAGTGTTCAATGTAACCAGTTACCCACAGCAGTGCTCCCATCACAGACGGCTTTGGTATGAGCCGTGGAAGAGAGAGTAGCTTTGATGGGTCAGGAGGTAGTGCCCAGACTATAACATGGAGCCCTGCTCTGTCTAGTTGGGAAGGTTGGAAGGCTTCTGGTGGTACAAAACCATAGCAGAAGGTCCTCCTACGGTGATAAATGTCAACAACAGCCAGTGCAGAAGTGTGTGTAAACATCGTGAGGTCCTGTGTAGGAAAGCAATGCATTTACCTCGCAGAAGGGAAAGAGGATGTCCAAACTCTGATCAAAGTTCTTCCATCTAGTTGGCCTCAGTACCCCAGACCCATGGGGAGGGGCTGCCTCCTTAGTTATTTCTGGCAAAGCTTGTGCAAGGCCTCCCTGAAATTAACATCACTCTTGCCCCAGGCAAAGATTCGCAACCAGTTACCAGGGACAGTGCTTTCTCCCAGATGCCTCCAAAGGCCCTGGGCTCATCGTGGGGATGTTTGTGAGGACATTCCAACCTTACATAAATTTCAAAAGATCCATGTGGAAAGAGCTGGAGCCGGAAAACCCCTGCCGAAAGGATTCAACCGTGAAGCGAGTTTATGATGGGAGGAGATCTGACGGCCACAGCTGTCATCCCTTAAATGACTGGAGAGAGGGAGTATGCTTGGAGTGACCTTCCCTTGTTTTCACCAGGTTTCCCAATATCTATCTTTCTGTCAAATTCAGCAGGTTTCTACCTGCCGCCCACCACCAACTTGTTGGCACAAGACCACGATCTCAGGCAGCCTGCCTCATGGTGAAGGGGCCCTCCAATCCCCTTAGAGATTACTGAAATTTTTCAGAGAAACTTTTCCAGATGTGAAAATAATACTGTACATACCAGGACATGGATGAGTGTCTCCCAGGACTAGGGAGGGAGAGATGGGAGTGTGGCTGAGAGCACTTCCTGGCTTCCTTCACTGGTCCCCTCAAGGAATCATTCATTCAACACATTCTACGTGTCCGTGTGCCAAACTACGCAGATGCCATCCTTCTGATGACAATCGGGGTCTACATGTGTCAGTTACTGAGCTAGATGCTGGGATGTATTTTTGGTTGAGTTCTCCTTGAAGCAGACCCTAAGGCAGTAACTTGAGGACAAATAATTTACATGGGAAGTGATCCAGGAAGCATTTTTCAGAGAATGGGCTTGTGAGGCGGCGAGTGGAAGGAAGCCATAAAGGTGGCAGGGCTGAGGAGTTTACTGCTGTGGGCACCGGGGGCGTGTCCTGCTGGAAAACTCTGGGAGATTTTATAGAGCCTGCCTTGGAATTTCCCGCTCTGGATGAGAAAGAGGAGGTATTTATCCTCCAACTCCTATCTGTGGTTGGGTAAGGGCTGCTCCCTGAAACCCCTCAGGCAGAGAATCACAGGCTTATAGTAGATGCCACTGGCATGCAATGGAGTGGAGCGTGCCCTGGGACTATGGACAGGGCACCAGAAGGGGTCGCTGAAAATTTTGGCTGAAATGAACACTTATTATAAAACTACATGTCTTTTAAATTTAATTTAATTTATATATTTGGCCACTCCCACAGCATGTGGGATCTTAGTTCCCCAACCAGGTGTCAAACTCACGCCACCTGCACTGGAAGCTTGGGGTCTTAACAACTGGACCACCAGGGAAGTCCCACAGAGCTACATGTCTTAATCTACTTAGACTGCTATAACAAAATACCATGAACTGCGTGAATTAAACTACAGAAATTTATCTCTCACTGTTCTGAAGTCTGTAAAGTTCAAATTCAAGGCTCTGGAATATTTCGTGTCTGGTGAGGTCCCCCTTCCTGGTTTGTAGATACACCACCTTCTTGTTGTATCCTGCCAGAGAGAGAAAGATCATTTCTCTCATTCCTCTTCTTATAAAGACACTAATCCCATTATTGAAGGCTCCACCCTCAGCACCTAATCACCTCCCAAAAGCCCCAGTTCCTAATATTACCACATTGGGTGTTGGGGCTTCAACATAGGAATTTTGAGGGAACACAAAATGTTTGTGGTCTGACTGTTTTCAGACACAACACTATAGTAATAAATGCACCGTGGTATTGACAAAAGGATACACACACAGATCAATGGACAGTGCAGAAGTGAATTCACATGCAAGTAGTCAATTGACAGTTGACAAAAGTGCAAAGGGAATTCATCAGAGAAAGAATAGTCTTTTCAACAAATGATGCCAGAACAGTTGGACATCCATATACAGAAATATGAACCTTGAACCATACTTCATATCATTTGCAAGAACTCACTCAAAACGGATCATAGACATAAATGCAAAAATTAAAACTATGGAACCTATAGCAGAAAACATAAGGAGAAAACCTCTGTGACCTTAGGTCATGCAATGATTTCTCAGGTACAAAATCAAAAGCCTGATGAAGAAAATACTAATGAATGCAATGTCATCAAAATTAAAAACTTCTGCTCTTTGAAAAATCACTCTTAAGAAAATGAAAAGACAGGCCACCAAGGACTCCCAATTCAGAAAGAAAGTCTTACGTTTTAAAGAACCCTATCGTGGGACTTCTCTGGTGATGGAGTATGGTTAAGATTCTGCCTTCCAATGGAGGGGACGTGGGTTCAGTCCCTGGTTGGAGAACTAAGATCCCACATACCTTGGGGGCAACTAAGCTCCCACACCGTAGTTAGAGAGAGGACTGTGTGCCACAACTAAGACCCAATGCAGCTAAGTCAGTATTAAAAAAAGAGAGAGAGCCATATATTGAAACGAATAATGCTGGGTGATTGTACGTGGGGATCTGTGTGAGAAAATAGGCTTTCTTTTAAAAATAATTTTCTTTATTTTTGTTGAAATTATACATGTAGGTAAGACCTTCCCTAATGGTTCAGATGGTAAAGAATCTGCCTGAAATGTGGGAGACCCGGGTTTGATCCCTGAGTTGGGAAGATCCCCTGGAGAAGGGAATGGCAACCCACTCCAGTATTCTTGCCTGGAAAATCCCATGGACGGAGGAGCCTGGAAGCTACAGGTCGCAAAGAGTCAGACAGGACTGAGTGACTATCACTCACTCATACATGAAGATAGACTAAGAAGTCACATGCTTTTACAAAGTATGTTGTGAAGAGTATCGGTTGCTTACCATCAGCCTCCCCCAAGAGGAAACCATTTCTAGTTCATCATCTTGGCATTTGTATCTCCATTTCTAAGTAATATTCATATTACACCTTGACAAAATAATGCTGCATCTCGACTTTTCAGTTTTAGATCTAGTCCATTGACTTCCCATGACTGAAAAGGAGATTTCCGTCCACCTCCTTGCTCCCTACACCTCTGGCATCTAGGCTTACCCTCCCACCACCCCCCTTCCCATCAACACTATATGCTCCTTGTGATTAGATCCTCACTATTGTTTACATTATCATGATTATGTTAACATGTTATAGTTGAACTCTGTTGTAAACCAAACACCTTTTCCCTTCTGACGGGGCTTTTTTATTTTCTCTGAGGTGAAAAAATTGTCTGATTTTGTGTTTGCTACATTTCCCATGTACATTGGGCTTTCCAGGTGGCTCAGTGGTAAAGAATCTGCCTACCAAGCAGGAGACACAGGAGATGAGGGTTCGATCCTGGGATCGGGAAGATCCTCTGGAGGAGGAAATGGCAACCCCCTCCAGTAATCTTGCCTGGAAAATCCCATGGACTGAAATGAAGAGCCTGGTGGGCTACAGTCCATGCGGCCACAAGAGTTGAACACAACTGAGCACATATGAGTTGAGTGAGCATCTCTTCAACCACATCCTCTTCACCGGTTGCCCAATCTCCTCTCCATGTGTTCATCAGTGCCAGATGTTCTCTATTAATTTCAGCTTCCAGAAGATGAATTTTCTGGGGCCCTCTGGCACTTGGCTCTCTCTCTGGAATCTTCTGTCACCATCTTCATGGGGACTCTCTTCGTTTCCTCTCCTACATTCTATTTTCTGTATTTCATGCATTTTTTCCCCCTTGGTTTCACCTTAAGAGGCTTTCTTTTGCTAATTAGGATTGTTTTAACTTCTCATCATGTAGCCAGTGTACAATAAATGTCCATGATGATCATGCAAGAGCAGTGAGGATGGCTCTGGGGTGTGAGAGGATTTTTTGAGCATATGAAATGACACACCTGTTTCTACTGTCTCTTCAACTGACTGCTAAGAAGAGCTCCATCGGTTCATCTCAGGAAACAGGGCTCCAACGTGATTGACTTTGCATCAGTCTCACTTCCATCCTGCTAAGAGGTAGTGTGTTCACCCTTCGACTTCCTTCCACCCTTTTCAACTCAAGTTCCCCCTCCGTGATCTAGTCCCTTACTGTTATCCCCATTTCACAACTGGGAAAGCTGAAGCCCCGAAGAGGTTTTCTTGCTGCACGCCCCCCACCTGTCATTCAGCAAAGATTCTGTGTGTGACTGGCACTGCAATATTACATGGAAATAAGTCAGGAGAGAACCAGAGAAATGTCACCTGCCCTTTAGGGAAGGGAGTGACCCTGGGGAATGTGGTAACAAAGAAATGTCACCTGCCCTTTAGGGAAGGGAGTGACCCTGGGGAATGTGGTAACAAATGTGGCAATCCTCCAGAGCCCCAGAGTGTGAGAAAGTCATGGCACTTTGAGAGGCCCCAGCTCGCTGACGGTTCCGGATTTCTCACAAGTTCCTTTGTAATGTCCTGCTTGGCCCTCTTTGCCCCTCGCCTACTCCTCCCCAAAGGAGGGTGATTCAGGGTCCCGTCACGTGTTCCCGAGTGGCTTTCTGACACCACCCCCTCCAAGTCCTTCATTCCCCTTTCTGGTCCTCATGCTCTTGCCTAAGGGCAGGAAGGAGCCAGCAACACTCTGGATGGCGTGGTCACTGTCCTCACCTGAATTTCCTGCTTAGGAAATAGCAGCTGAGAGAACTCAGGGCAGTGCTGGTGAGAGCACACCCATCGGGGCGGGTATAAAGGGTGAAGCTGACACTGGTCACCACCGCCCCACCTGCCCTCAAGATGAAGTCCGGCAGCCTTATCGTCTTCCTGGTGATATTTGCCTTTGGATTCCTGATGCCCTGGGCTGTGGAAGGGGCTCCCGAAAGTGAGTTGGACTCTCTCAGGCCATACCCAGGTGCCAGAGTCAGTAATGGCTCAGCTTGGGAATAACCTCTTCTTTTTAGCCCAGGGGCTGGCCTTGAAGCCCTCTTTCCAATGGCTTATGGCCCTTAATTTCAAGCACGTCACTGAGGACAACTCAGAGAGTTTCTGTGCATCCAGAAATAAGCCCCTGTATGTCTTATTTTTCTTTCTTTATAGCTCCTTCTTTACTGTTGTTTTTTTTTTTTCTCTGTCACATTTTGGTCACTATCTGTTTTAATTTTCCAAATTATTCTCTGTTTCTCTTAATGTTTATTTTTTTGCTTGTTTGTTTGTTTAAGGTCACTCTCTTTTTCTATTTGCTTCTCAGTTGATCTGTTCTCTTTTGTTTAATCTCAAATGAGTGGCGTCTCTTGCTGTCACTCTCTTTCTGCCTCCCAGCCAGCCCTGGGCCAGGGATACCTGACCATGAACTCTGTTCAGCACTCCCTAGAGCTGACTTATACAGACATGCAATAGCTGATTGTGAAATCTTCAAGACTTCTGTGAGGTAGTTGATGTCACATTGGTAGCTTGAAATAAGGAATAGTGGGAATATTGACACCAGGGAAATTGGCAAACTCCACAAAGTCTCCCTCTTGAAAGATCTAGTGGCACCCCACCATCTATACCTCCTTTCCCATTGACTCCCTCCTGGTTGAGGGTTTGGCTGAGCTTGGCGCTGTCCCACGCCTGCCTTGAAACTGGAATCCTAATGGCTCCCTTCATTCCTTTGGGGTCAGCTACTTGGGTTAGGTTTGCTCTCCTCGCCTGGTTCCTTCTGCAGGATTGTGATCATGACTCAGTGCCAGCTTCTTCTTCCTCCTTTGTTCTTACCCTTCAGAAATAGGTAAACCTGGAGCCTGTCCTTTCATACGCCCTGCGATGTGCCTTGTATATGAACCACCTGAATGCCACAGTGACTGGCAGTGTCCGCAGAGGCAGAAATGCTGCCAGGATGTTTGTGGCATCAAATGCATGGATCCTGTAGGCACGTCAAAGCCAGGTGAGGAAGACCAGTCCTGGAAAGGGGGGTCAGGGAGGTCCGAGCTTGAGGACATGCTTCTTGGGCAAATGGAAGGGGCTCGTCTGAACTGGGCTGGAGGATGGGATAGAGTCAGGGTTCCTCCGCCCCCTGTACCAGCTCTCTTTTCTCAGGTAGACAGTAGGCCAGTTGGTGAGTCAGTCAGCCAGCAGGCCAGTCAGTTCATGAATCAGTCTGTCCATCAGACACACGTATGTCAGACTGGTTGGGGCCCTGCTGGTGGGAGGGAGTCTCCTTTAGGACATGCACCAGCCTCAGATTGGATCCTGAAGTTGGGCAAGAGCCAATTTCCATGTATGCTGTGAAGGTGGAGTTGGGAATTTGGGTGATGTCCCAGGGGGTGAAGCCTCTGAATTGTGACTCTGTTTTCATCAGTTAAAGTCACTCCCGGTAAGTGTCCAGTGGTCACCGGCCGCTGTGAGAGGCCCAACCCTGTAAACGACTGCCAGAATGACAGTCACTGCCTGAATGGTTTCAAGTGCTGCAGGGGTCTGTGTGGGAATTCATGCGTACTGCCGGTGAAAGGTGGGGAGAAGATCTAGCAAGCTCCATGTCCCCCTGGACCCTAGTATGCTCTCAGCCTAATAGTACTTTTGTATGTGAAAAAGGTTGCTTGACATCTGCCAGTACGTCCCCAATCCCCAAGCAGATCCTCTGCCCTTCAGTGAACTTCAGCCCTTAGAGTTCTCTAGCCAAGTCCCAGGAGGTACCTATGACAGGCTGTGCTGGGTCCTGGGAAGGAAAGCTTCTTGGAATAAGGCAGGAGGAAGGAGCGTGATACAAGGGGCAAAAGTTCTATCTTTTAATATCATCTCTGCCTCTGACTGACTGTGTGACTATGAGCAACTGACTATATCATCCTTGACCTCAGTGTTCCCATCTATAAAATGGATGCAATTATATCCATGGCGATACTAAATGTAAAAGTCCTTTTTAAGACTTGAAGTACTGTTTGTATTCAGAGAATGTTGCTATGGTTATGGCCCTGATTAGCTGAGTTATCTGGAACCACAGGAAACTCTAGTAAGATGCATAGGTGTCAATCTGGCTCAATGCTCTGATTTTACCAGAGGGCAGCAGAGAAGAGTCTGTGAAAAGCCTGGATTTTGTCTTGATTCCTACATCAAAGGCCAGCACTATTTCAACTATTCCAGCATCATGCTCTCTACTTATCCCAAGGGACCTAGGATGTGGTGGTGAAAGGACCATCTTGGTGGGAAAGATATAGGGGTCACTTAAATAATTCTTGTGCTGAGGCTCCATTTTATTTTCTTTCTACAGATTCATCCTTTCCAGGTCAAAAACATTAGGACTTCCTGGTCTGTGTGCTCTGGGGATTTCCCCCCTCCCCACCCTGCAAGTCTGGAAAACAATGAAAGCACCTTGGTCAGGATGTGGTTTTGTGACCAATACTCCTTTGGGGACGAGATCTGGCCTGTTTTATCTATGTATCCTCAGCATCCAATGTGAAGCTTGGCACATGACAGGAAATGCCTATTGATCAGTGAATAAATAAATGTACCAGGTTTTCTCTGCATTTCCATCTTCCTTGACTCTTTTGAGTGTGGTCTAAGGTATGAGGAGTGAGATGAAGAATAAAATGTCTGAATGTGCGGGGTTTCTCCAAAAACCCATAAAATATCAATCGAAAGGAGAGAGTGTTTCAGTTCCAAGCAGATACAGGTTTAAATCTTTACATTCATAGATTACAGGTTCTGTAGATTTGGGCAATGACTTTGTCCCACGGAGCCTTAGTCTTGTCATCTGTAACATGGAAATGATAACAGCAATGACAATTTCATTATCAGGATTAGAGTGATAACATGTGAAAGGACTAGCTCACTGACTGTCATATAGTAGATGCTCAACAAACATTAGACTTACCTCAGGGTAAGCAAAGTGCAAAGAGTTTAAAAAAATGATCACGTGTGACAACATCAGGAGCAAAACTGACAAACACAAAAAGTTGAACGATAAATGAGAGCTTAGAAGTAAATACTTGGAATGGTTATCACAGACAAAGAAATAGAAATAGAATTTCTACAAATCAGTAAGAAAAACAGCCAACCTCTTAGAAAAAAATGAACTATGAATAGAATAGACAATCAAATAAGAGATTATTATAGCAGATTGTATATAGATATATAGGAGCTTCAATGTCACTAGTTACAAGACAAAACCAATTAAAACAACCAGACACCATTTTTTATTTATCAGAATGGCAAGAATGAAAACTCTACAATGTAGGTCTTCCCTGGCGATCCACTGGTTAAGAATCCACCTGCCAATGCAGGATTTGATCTCTGGTGCAAGAATATCCCACGTGCTGTGGAGCAACCACTGAAGCCGGTGTGCTTAGAGCTTGTGTCCTGCAATAAGAGAAGCCGCTGCAATGAGAACTCACGAGCCACAGGGAGTAGACTTCACTTGCTGCAACTCGAGAAAGTCCACACAGCAACAAAGACCCAGTACAGCCAAAAAAAATAAAATAAACAGATAAATAATCTTAAAAAAAAAAGGCTACAATACAAACACTCAGAGACTCTTAATAGTTTGCTGATGGAAATGTAAATTGGTACAACCACTTGGAAGAGTGATCTGGTTATGCCTAATACAACTGAGAAGTTACACATATCATTTAGCAACTTTCCTTTCAGAAACACAGGAAAGACAAAATATTTGTCAACGGGAACCTAACACATGTATTAAGATGTTTATTACAAGATTGTTCCAAAGAGTCAGAAACTGATACCAGTCAAGTTGGCCTGCATTTGTGAAATAGTTAAATTTCATGCTTTGATATGCTTGCTATGCTATAGAAAAATAAAAATAAATTTATATGAATCAATATGGAGACGTATCCCAGAAAATTTATCAGGAAAATAAGATTGGTGATACAATGTATAGAATGAAATAGTCATATATATTTAAAAATTACACATAAAGGGACTTCCCTGTAGTTGCCTCCATGCTCCCAATGCATGGGGCTGGGTTTGATCCCTGGTCAGGAAACTAGATCCCACATACCACAACTAAGAGTTTGCATGTCTCAGTTAAAGATCCCAGGACTGCAGCTGAAACCTGGCATAACCAAATAAACAAATAAATATGTTTTTTAAAAGTTGCACATAAAATATCAAGCTGGTTATGAGTATATACCAAAGAATATACACCAAATGCAGGAAGATGCCATCTTTCGTCGAAGAGGAATTAAAAATGAGACTGGTAGTGCTGACTATACAAACTGGTTATTTATCTTCAATATTTAATACTTCAATGAAATAATACCATTTGTAGCAACATGGATGGACCTAGAGACTGTCATACTGAGTGAAGTAAGTCAGACAGAGAAAGACAAATATCATATGACATCACTTACATGTGGAATCTAAAAAAAATAGTACAAATGAACCTATGTGCAAAACAGAAATTGGATCACAGATGTAGAAAACAAACATGGCTATGAAGGGAGAAAGCGGGGGAGGGATAAGTCAGGAGGCTGAGGTGGACATGTACACACTACTGGACATAAAATAGATAGCTAATAGGAAATCACTGCACAGCACAAAGAACTCGGTTCAATACTCTAATCACCTGTGTGGAAATAGAAGCTAAAACGAGTGGGTACGTGTGTGTGCATAACTGGCTCACTTTACTGTATGGCACAAACTAACACAACATTGTAGGTCAACCATTCTCCAACTCAAAAATTAACTAAAAAGATTTACTGCTTGAAAATAAAATGAATATATATTGCTACCACTCTAGGTACTTCTAGGATCCAATGTTAGGACAAAACAAATCTTTCTAAAAAAAAAACAACTATCTTTTTTTTCCTTCCAAAAGACACCTAACACCTAACATGGAGAGTAAGAAACAGACACTCAAAAACCATCTTGTGTGAAACTAGAAATCATTTCTATCCAGTGGCTACAATATGGAACTGGAAATAAAAATTTCAAATTGGAGAAAGGTGAAAGCTAAGGGTTTGCAGTAGGAGATATTTATGAGAAGCCCTGTAGAATGCTTTAAAGGCTCTGAAATTAACAGTTGGAACGATTTTTTTTCAATAGTGGAGAGGGTGCTGTTCAATACCTGTACAAATTATAAAGTAATTATCCTTGAGTTAAAAATAAATAAAATTTAAAATGAAACTATAAACTTCTTAGGCTAAAACATAGAGGTAAATTTTGGCAAATAATTCTTAAATAAGACATCCAAAGCATAATCACTGAAAGGAAAAAAGAGATAAATTTAACTTCATTAAAATTTAAAACTTTGGTGCTTCAAAAGACAGCATCAATAAAGTGAAAGATACTCCACACAGAATGGGAGAAAATGTTTACAAATCATGTATCTGATAGTAATTCTTATAACTTAATAATTTAAAAAACTTAAAAGAAAAAAATATGTGTACAAAGAACAATTAGATTCCCAGGTCTAGGTCTAATTATGCCTGTAACTCAGGCATCTCCTAAAGAAGTTGGAGGCTCTTGTTTCTGCAGCAATTGAAAGGTAGGAACCCTGGGCTCAGCCATTCCTGGCATGGGGAAGAAAGACATGGCTCTGAAAAAGGGAGGACTCAAAAAGCTTTTGCGAATAGTGAGGTCACCCAGCGGCCTTCTACTCTGGCTAGAACTGTCAACAAGCTTATCTAAAATCAAACATTTGGACCACAAGGCTAAGTTTTTCTGCCTTGCTGTTTTAAAAGAATGTCCGCCCTTCCAATCCTCTTGGTCAGTTTTGAATCTGCCCTTCATGGACTGACAGAATTTTGTGCTCAAATCACTAGTCCCTTGGTTTCTTCCTTTTTCAAGAAGCTTGGAGGGTGGGCAGATTTTCTTTCATCCCAACTCTTTTCACATAGCTCTCCTTTCAGGGAAGTTAGCTCAAGGGATATCTTTCTTTGAACCAAAACAAGCTTTGACTCAGTCTCTCAAGGAAAAGGCAATGTGGACAAGAAACCAGTGAATAAATAAATGTACCAATAAATGTACCAGGTTTCGGGAACAGAGGTTGAGTCCCAGCTTGCTGCTGACTCAGTCTGTGACACTGACCATGTTCCTCGACTCCTTGTATAAAAAAGGGATGAGCCACTTGACCTTTAAGGCTCCACTTTGTTCTGCTATTTTACCAACTGATGATTCATAGACGCACCTTGGAGGGAAAGTCCCAGTGGGATGGGCCCCCTCATCAGGTCTGATGAACTCCCTGTGATGACAGGCTCCCTTCTTCACCTCCCAGCCTCATCTCGGGCCCATCTTCTCCAGCTCCTGTAGTCAGCTTCCAGGGCACCTGCTCACCTGGTGCTTGTGCCTTAGGAGTGTCCCAGTGAGTCCACTAACCCTGCCTCGGTGTAGAGATGGGAAAACCTAGACCCAAAGAAAAGATATGTCCAAGATCATAGAGTAAGTCACTGGTGGATCTCAGTATCTTTATCTCCAAGCCTCCTATTCTTTTTCTTTATTTCGAGTTAATTTTTTTTTCAGATTATATAGTGGATACAGTAGTGGGCTGTCGGATCCCCTTGGGATGAAGACACTCATTCTCTCTGTTGCTGGGGTGTTGCTGATGCTCACAGCTGAGTCCCTCCTTGGGAATTCCCCTGGGCCGCAGTGAGCTGTTTCATCCAAAGTTACACCCCATTCCCAGGGATAATCTGTATCCACTGACTGGTTGATGTGGGGTACAAAGGTCTAGCTCCACAGTTTGATTCGGGGCACCTCTGAAGGACCCTCCCCTCCAATCCACTCAGCGCTCTCCAGGGGATTGGCCGAGCCTTTGCTGCCGTGCATCACAATTCCGCTTCTCCCCGGCCCTGCTTCTCTTACTTCTCACAGATGCTGCTGCTCAGAATACTCCCAGCAAACCTCCTGCACATAAGCATCTGCCCCTGAGACCATTTTCCAGGAAACCTGACCTAAGGGAGGTTAGGCAAAATGATCATTGTGACATTTTGGAAAAGGCAAAACTATAGAGACAGTAAAAAGATCAGTGGTTGCCAGAGATTGGGAAAGGGGAGATAAATAGGCAGACCACAGAGGATTTTTAAGGCATGGAGAATACTCTGTATGATATTATAATGACTGATATACATTTGTGCAAACCCATAGAATGTGTGACACCAAGAGAGAGCCTTACTGTAAATGATGGACTTTGGGTGATGGTGACGTGTGGATGTAGGTTCACTGATCGTAACAAATGCGCCACTCTGATGAGGGATGTTGACAATAACGGAGGCTATACATGTATATAGGGGCATGGGGTGTATGGGAAATCTCTGTACCCTCTTTTTAATATTTACTTGTTTGTTTTGACTGCACTGGTCTTTGTTGCTGCCCGCGGGCTTTCTCTAGTCGCAGCAGGCGGGTGCTCCTCTCCAGCTGTGGCCTCTCTTGTTGTGGAGCAGGGGCTCTAGGCACTTGGGCTTCGGTAGCTGTGGTGCACGGACTTAGTTGCCGCACAGCAAGTGAGATCTTCCCAGACCAGGGATCAAACCTGTGTCCCCTGCATTACAAGGCCGACTCCTAACCATTG